TCCTTATCCTTCATGATTTTGGAAACTACCAAATCTCCTCTTAAACCTCTCCTCTTTGAGGAAAATAGTCTTCAGCTTCTTCAATCTTTCCTCATTACTGAAATGTTTCATCCCTGGAACCATTCTTTTAAACTTCTTCTGCAGTGTCTCCAATGCATTCACCTTTTTGCTCTTGTGCAGCACCCAGAACTATACACAATACTCAAGCTCAAGCCTAACAAGAGTTTTATATAGATTCTGCCTCCTACCTGCTTTTGTACTCTGCACCTCCATTTATTGTATGATTTATTACCATCCTCTATTCATCCTGCTTGTACAAGTGCCTGTACCCCGGTCTCACTGCTCCTGCACACCCTTTAGAATAGTTAGTACTGCTGCCTCACAGCGCCGAGGATCCAGGTTCAATTCCAGCCTTGGGCAACTGTCTGTGTGGAGTTTGCACTTTCTCCCCGTGTTTGAGTGGGTTTTCTCTGGGTACTCAATTTTCCTCCCATCGTCCAAAGATGTGCAGGTGGACTGGCTATGCTAAATTGCCTATCATGCCCAGGGAAGTGTGGGCGAGGGGGTTAACCATGGGGAGTGCAGCATTATGGGAAAAAGAGTGGGTCTGGGTGGGATGCTCTTCAGAGAGTCAGTGCAGATTTGATGGGATGAATGGCCTCTATCTGTACTGGAGGGATTTTATGATTCTAAATCAATAGCATTACTGTCATCAACACTCTCTTGAGCTGTTGAAAAATTTTTTAACACAATTTAGCCTTAACAAGTCAATGCTGACTGTTTTGACTCAGCCCACATTTTTCCATGTGACTATTAGTTCTATCTTGAACAGTTGATTCTAGAAGTTTCCCCACCAACAAAATTAAACTGACTGGTATATAATTGCTAGGATGATTGTTACAACCTTTTTTGAACAGCATAATATTTACAATTCTGCAGTCTTCTGGCAACCACTCCCCAGTTCAGGGAAGACCGAAAGATTGTTTCCAGCACCTCTACAATGTCCACTCTCACTTCCTTCAATATCTTTGGATGCATTTCATCGCGTCCTGGTGACTTATCAACTTTTAAGTACTGACAGTTATCCAGGACCACCTCCTTATCCATTTTAAACACTTCTATAGTGAAAGAGTTTCCTCCTCAGCAAGCCTGGACTGTACATGTACAGCATCTGCTTCATAGGTAAAGACAGTTGTGAAGTATTAACATCTAACCCAATGCCTCTTGCCTGTACATGCAAATCCCCTTTCCCCAATCAGTCTTACTCCTGTTTTTAACTATCCTTTAGTTATTGATGTGTTTAGGGAAGATTTCACTACTACACTCTGAGGGAGAAAGTCACACTGTGACTTTCCAATTGAGTTGCAGAACTGTTAGGCAGGCAGTGCGACTAACATTGATATGAAAATTGTTTTGAATGAAAAATCTTCAGGAGTTGCATCTTAATTATGGTGCTAACCTTACTATAGATATCGCAGTCTGCACTGTGCTGGCTGTGTGTATTGATAATGCTGTTCAGAGATTCATGTTTAGTGATGTTCAGACCAAGGTGGTATATAGAAACATAGAAAATAGGAGCAACAGTAGGCCATTCAGCCCATCAAGCCTGCTTCACCATTCAACATGATCATGGCTGATCATCCAACTCAGTTCCTGCTTTCTCCACATTCCTTTGACACCCCGTAAAGAACTATATCTAACTCCTTCTTCAAAACATTCAATGCTGTGCTATCTCAACTACTTTCTGTGGCAGATAATTACACAGACTCACCATTCTCAGTGAAGAAATTTCTGCTCTTCTCAGTCCTATTGTACCCTTTGACTGTGACCCCTGGTTCTGGTGACCCCAGTCATTGGAAACATCCCTCCTGTGTTTAAGGCATTGATTATGCAAAGCTGGTAGCAGCAAAACTCAAATAATTTGTCTTCATTCTTATTCATCTTTTCCAGGCGATGATATCCAAAGTAGGAGGACCATGCTCCTGGTCTACACTTACTCTTCAACTGAAATCCCCCAGTAGGAAAAGATGTTCTGAGATTATGGAGTCTACAATAACTGTGTTAATCTCTATATAGAATCGATCTTTCATCTCTGAAGTGCAGTACAGTATCAGAGCGTTGATATTCATGTGATTAACCAGCTCTGTTTGAGTTGAAAGCTGGATGGAGAGAACACATTCTGAATCACTTGTGGAGTGTTTCTGTTATCAAAAGTAGTGAATCCCTTGTAGCAAAGTCTGCACCTTGCTCAGATTTTGCCTCTGAATTCCTTCACTGTCAGATAATTCTGTAATGTTTTTATTTCAGTCATCCTTTCTCATTAAGCTGGGTAGATTGAATGAGAGCTATGTTAATGTTCAGCCTATCAGATTTTCTGTGTCAGTCAGAGCTCTCTTACACATGTTGTCAACTACTCTGAAAGTTGTCTATCAATCTAATGTCTTTTAGGGAAGGAAATCTGTTTTTCTTACCTGGTCTGGCCTGCATATGACTCCAGACCCGCATCAATGTAGTTGACTCTTTATTGGCCTCTGGGCAATTAGGGATGAGCAATAAATGAGCAGAAATGTCCACATCCCGTAAGTGAATTTAAAAAAAATCCAAGCCCGTGGTCCTGGTGTTCTAGCTTGCCGGTTGTAGACTTTGCATCTTCTTTATTTTCATTTTATTTGCCATGTGTGCCTTGGACTCTTGTCTTTTGTGTTGAGCAGTGACTCTAAGTTTCAAGTGCCCATTGAAGCAGGAGTGCCATGGCATGTCAGTACCCTATAGCCGGGGCTTGAGGGACGTATTTTTGAAAACCATTTCATCTACCAATTGAGTTTGGCTTATCGCTTCTTTATCCCATGTTGTATTAATGTTTTGCAGTAAAACTGAAGCACTTACTCGAGGGTGCCAACCTGGGTAAAAATTATGGAGACTGCCATCCAAACATTTTTTAACTGAGAGATGGCGGCATGTGAGCTCCTGCCGGAGCTTGTCTCCTCCATCCGTTTTACTTTTTTTTTCTTCTTTCTCTGCTTTTCTTTCTTTAACCTTACTTACCTTCTGTGGAAGTTCGGACATCTGATGTAGGTTTCTCCCCAGCAGCGGCGGAGGGAATCGAGTTTGTGCTCCTGGCAGTGCTGGTGGAGGAGGGAAGCGAGAGTGTGTTCCCGCTGGTGGAGGAAGGAAGCAAGAGTGTGTTCCTGCTGGTGGAGGAGGGAAGCAAGAGTGTGTTCCCGCTGGTGGAGGAGGGAAGCAAGATTGTGTTCCTGGTGGTGGAGGAGGGAAGCAAGAGTGTGTTCCTGGTGATGGAGGGAGGCAAGTTTGGGCCCCTGGCAGCTTCAGCAGTGGCTGCATTGCCGAGATCGGCCCAGCGCAGATTCATAGCGGCAGCCTCATTGGTAGAGGCAGGATAGTAATGGGTGGCTAGACAAAGGGACTCAAAGCTGGCCGACTGCTTTCTGCTGGTGTGGGCCTCTGTGTCGGGGTGGAAGGGCCTGGATCCAGGTCTATGGCTAAGTACTCAAGAAGGACTGTTACAGTGAACTTCTAACTTATTTCTTTATTTTCTATCCTTTTCTTATACACCTATGATTTTGTATCTAGGTACCTTCATACCTAAAACAGCACTGGGAATGGCAGCTTTGTACACTTTTCACTGTACTCCTGTATCCCTGTACTTGCGTACACATGACAATAAAAAAAACTAATTCATATCAGGATCTCCCCCTCAATCTCAATGATTGAGTCCAAAGGAATGTAAACCACAATGCTTGGTATCAGGTTAATTGCAGCAGTTCCTGGAAAGATAATATAATTAAATATCAATCTGTCTTTGGGCTCAACTTCACATTTTTTCAGGGTGCACTCTCTTAGCCTCCAAACCCCAGATGTTTGAACTAACCACACTTTAGGTTTGAAAAGATGAAGATCCTTTGTTTAATTCTTGTCATGATTTTGTACCAAGTAACATTGGTTTGGTCTGGTCCTGTAATATATCATATGACTCTATAGTACAGCCATGAATGAGCTCTCTGGAACATTTACACATAACATTTAACTCCTAGCTAATTAGTTTCTAACTCTTTACAGATACTATTCCATCATACACAAATGAAGGTTAGTGAGTATCATGTTATGATTGGAAGTGAAACATATCGGGGTAGGGAGAAAATTGTTTGGGATGCTCATTGAGCAGATGGGAGATGTACATGGCTAGATCTCATCATGAGCATGGTGACAATAAGACATCATTTGTACCTTTATCATCTGGATAAGGCCCAAGAGTTTCTCCTCTGGGACTGATGCTTCTGAAATTGACATTTTAGCTATTTACCTCTAAGGCTGATGTAACATTTGCCTGTGCAGCCTTTTGCTATTTATAGGGAAAAGAATGTGTCTACTAAACCCCATTTGGTCCAGAGAGACCAACACTGCTGGACACTGAACGTGGGAGACTTTAAAAATAAATCCATTGCAGAAAACAACACTGTCAGAGTGTTCAAATTGACTGCATAATTAAAATGAAAATCTTGCTATTGACACATATACGTCACACTTGAATTTTAAAATAAGACTAACCTCAAAATAGTTCAGTTCTCTTGTCCTTAGTCCCCCAGTCACCCTGTTCACCATTCGTCTGATTTTGCACCACAGGAGAAAATTTATCTTGGAATGTTAGCGATTGTTGACAAAGTGTTTCAATGGACAATAGCCTCTTGATTTCTCACCACTTATCCCACAGCCCTCTTTAAATCAATTAAACCATTAATTTTTTTTAAACCTCTTTCTTCTTTTAAAAAAATTGAGATGTATGAACATATAAACATATGAATGATGAACAGGAGTAGGCTATGTGGCCCCTCAAGCCTGTTCCACCATTCTCCAAGATGCAATTGGATTTTAGCAAAACAACCAGAAGTGATACTTACAATGTAGATTGTATTTCTGCTTCACTTTTCAGGAAAAAGAATAACTTCCATTGAAAGTAATAAACTCTTTATTTTCTTTAACAGAGCAACAGGATTTGGGTTCTTGAATGCCCTGTGTAAGGCAGCAACTGTACTCGGAAATCTCATTTTTGGCTCTTTGGTTGGTATAACCAAAGCAATTCCCATCCTGCTGGCATCCACTATCCTCGTCTGTGGAGGCCTCATGGGACTCCGACTTCCTGATACAAGAAACCAGGTTCTCATGTGATGGATTTTTAGGTGGCCAGTGGCAGTGATCAAGTGAGAGGTTTGAATAAAAATAGTCTTTAGTTTAAGACCAAAACAATTATTGTCACACACAAGTTTGTCACTTTTCCTGAATACTCCTTCCTTTATCCTGCGCTTTCTGAAATTTTGAAAATAATGTGATCAATGGGGCTGCAGTCCACACACACGCACTTGTTTATGTGGCTTAGAGAGCATAAAGAAGGAATAGTAAATCAGTTCTGACAGCAGGTTTTTAATCTAGTGGTTGACCATTACCCAGGTTTATCCTCCCCTCTATAAATTCAAACCATTGTAAAACTTTCAGTCACAATAAATCAGCAAATGTATCAAATCAGTAAAGTTCTGAGGCAAGGCTCGAAGCAAACAACGACATGCTATTAATCCTACAGAGATGCTTGCAGCACCCAGATGTGTTTATTATTCCATTTCTTTAATATTGACAAAATCAATTTGTTCCATTTGCTAAAAAAGCTATTTTACTGAAGAATGTTTGATTTAGGTGGGATTGGAGAAGATTATAATTGCAATGCAGGAATCAATTTTCATCTGTAGCCCTTTTCTCTCTTTTTAGCATCTTTTTAAAACTTGACACAAATTTATCTTACATTGATAATGATGAATAAGATTATTAAGGAATGTCCCACAAAAACAAAAACTCGCCTCTTGCATTTTCTTTTCTGTCCTTTGTCATATTTCCATTTCCCAATGCATTCGACAATATGCTACAAAACAACAAACACTTCAAAAAAGTCATTTCTTATGTAAAGAGACTTGAAGTATTATAATAGGAAATATTATAAAGTGTTAAAAATGTTAAACTGTAAATGCACTATAATGTCATTTTAACCGAGAATGTACAGAATCATCTATATAGTTATGTTATTTTTACCAACTTTTATACCATCTCATGTGAAAAGAATATCTTACTTACTAAAATCAAGAATTTAAAAAAATCTCTGGTTAAACATCAAAACCCTATAAAGAGTCCATTTGTTCATTTGAAACCTAAATGGCCTTTGACCTCATGTTCGCCTGTAAAATATGCATTGTGCCTGTTGTAGCTTGATCTATATATAAAGTATTGTTTCCATTTCAATTGTAAATGTCAGAGCTGGACATTAATGTTAATATAATTTAAAGATTATCTGAATAATGATTTTGATAGGAATTATTTCCTGGCTTGTTTTGATTCTTTGCATTTAACTGTTTTTGCATAGTTTTGTGATGACTGGTCAAACACAGGCTAGGAATTTTACTGGAGCGGTTCCTGTTCTGCTGTAGTAATTAATAAGTGTGGCAGAAAGCACAGGAGCCAGACAGCAAAGCAAAGGAGATTCCAAACAATAGTTTAGATTTCCCAAACAAAACCTTCCATTCGCTATTACTAAACTACACAGCTGGTGATTGGGTTGAACTTCCTCCTATTATATCATACTATGGTATAGTTTTCTCTGCCCATTAGTTTTACTAAAAACAGATGTGAAGATAAAGCGTTGTTACTTTTCTACTATAATGAGCTAATGGAGGATAATTTAGCACATTTACAGCAAAATATTGACAGTGTCTTAATAAATTGTACTTTTTAAACAGTCTGGGGAGGAGGTACCCTTCTTACTGTTAATTATTTTGCCATTTAATACAATAGCAAACAACTTCCATTTATGTGGCACCTATAGGACAGTAAAAACATCCCAGAGCACTACATTGCTCAGTTATGAAGTAAGAACGATAAAAATTAAAGCATTTTAGAACAGTTTTCCCTAATTTTCATCTTTGACAAGATATCAAACACTAGATCTTCTGCTCCTCAGAAACCATTTTTCACCTTCTACCAATTCTCTTTCCCAGTGATGTTAATGGAATGAAAATATTGGCTGGGTTGTATATCAGGGAGCAAAACTAAAAACACCCAATTACCTCCTCACTGAAAGTCCAGCCCATTATCCCAGTTCCTTTTCTAAATCCAAAAATGCAAGAAAATTATTGAAAAATTGGTACTGTAAATTACCAGCAGAAATTTGGTTGCTGTATTCTCATTGGAAGAAAGAAATAAGAATTCGAAAGAGGACTAGCAAGGTCCAAACAACTGTGGCAACTGATCAACAAAATATCACAGAACTGCAGAGCTTAATAAGGTTTTTAAGTAATCCGAATCTCTTAGCTAAAGTCTAATAAGTATTTTTGAGATTACTATGACTCTTCTTTTTCTATTGGTCTCCTCTGTAACATGTTAATCTGTTCAGATACACATTCAGCTTGTATCTAAAATGGATTTTGGGCTGGTTTAACTGTTACTTATGCTTGTATACAACATTTGTTTAAGTCTGACCTCCAGTGGGCAATATAAACACAGCACCAATTGCTTTAAAATGAAGTGAGTTCACCTCAAGATCAATTTGGAGGCTGCACCGTGCAATGTTTTGGTGAATTTACTGTCAGCTTAATAGCCTTAGTATCATTCCCTCCAGTTGTCAACCATTAGTTATTTGGAAGTGAGCAGGAATTCTTTAGAACACAGGAAAAGTCAAGCCTACCGAGTTTAACCTGTTGGACTTCATCTATTAATTCCCTAATACTCTTGTTACAATGTACAGCTTCATATTGAACATCCTTAATATTTTCTGCTCAACATTTGTTTCCTGGGAAGTCATTCCTCTGGCATAATGGAAAGTGGAATAATCCAATTCTTTCTTGAACAAGTTGCAAATTCTTAAACACTGTATACTGGAAACTTAAAGATCAAGTTCTTCAAGGAGCGAAAATGTGCTAAACCTGTGTATGGCAAAAAAAACTGACCCAGGAGATCACAGAACATTCATGGAGGTGGTTACCGATTCTTTCAGTTCAGATCAGGCAGCTGCTTTAATTTACCGATGAAATTCACATTCTGATCTCCATGGGGCTGATTGTCAAGCTGTTCATTCTAAGTATTCCAAATAAACAAAGGGATTTTTGTTCTTTCATTGCCAGGTTTAAGTCACTTAGGATAAGGAAATGCATAAAGATTAACCTAATTGGCATTATTCTGCAATGTATAATACTTAAACTGCTTCTATGTAAAAATTGGAATTTTTTTGTCTGTATCTTCCTCATGTCTTAGTGTTTTAGGTATGCTTATGTGTTGTAGATCTAGTATATAATTCTAATTGCAGTTGTTTCTCTGCACTTGTGAATTTACATCTGTCTCTGCCAGGGCCATCGCCAGAGTTTAGTAGGCCAGGGAGACAAAGCTCTTTACAAAGTCTATAGCTTAATACAGTAATGCTGAAATTTGTATTATACAGTGGTATACAAGTTAATAAAACTGTGTACAGTCTGTTCAAATAATGGATTCTAAAATGTGACACATACAGAAAATAAAGGCTGACAGCTACCAAATATCCAATAGAACAAACTATTCACAAATTATATATAACCTCTTTAGATTCTTATAATTTGAATCCAATATTATCTTATAGGATAAATGGAAAATCCTATAGGAGTTCTTTGTAATGCCTATGCAGGCTTTATGCCAAAATTTTTGTATGTAGATAGATCCATGCAATTCTCCCTCTAGTCTTCTTAGAAGGTTTTCTACAAATGTAATTAAAATGGAAAAATAAATGTCTGTAGGCTTAGCAAGAGCTAATTTGTGAATTACATTTCCACTGTTACTGATCATATGTTTGTTGTAAGTATTTCAGCACCGTCACTTTATATGCTTCAAAACATAGAAAATTGGTGCAAGATTTCTTGTGGAGCATGAGGGCAACACTTTGTAGACATCTGCTGATAAGGACAGACAGTAACTTTTGTACATTTTGTGTCTATAAACTATTTAGTAGAAAAGGAGTCTAACAACTATAAGTATAGCCAAAAAGTCAGACGGGATCATAGATCTTCTCTGCGGAAATCATGAGATGCATTAATCACCATGTGTCATAAATCATAAAGCGATTGATAACTGATGAACAGTAGATTTTACCAAATTCCTGTTAGTTTTGCTATTGTAGAGTTTAGGCTTCAGATCATATTTCTCATTTCTAAGCGGACTTAATCATTCAGACTGTGATAATGCTGATTAAAACCTATGGTTGAAAGTGAAAAAGGTATTGCCATCTCATTGAAACAATAAAATATTGATGATAGAAACAATACACTTTATGTAAATTTAAAGTGCATGCCCTGTGTCTTGTAATATAATCTTGTTCTGGATGACACTCTTAAACCCATAGCACCTGCTGAACATTTGCATTATAAATATATAAGAGTTCAAATTGCAATCTGCAATGTTTTCAAAAAATAACCTATACTTTCCAAATTCTCTATTTCAACTCCCATTTATCCTTAACAGCATTGCATTCCTGTGTACTTAATATAATGTTTACAATAGTGCAAGATACATTTTATTGATCATTGCTGGTGAATTAAACCTTGACTAAGACAGCAGAAATACTGCAGATGTTGGGAATCAAAAGTAAAAGAACAGAAAATGCTGGAAGTACTCAGCACGTCAGGCAGCATCTCAGGAGAAAGAAACACAGTTAACATTTCATTAGAATTGATACTTATTTGTTTTTGAAATTGCTGCTGTCTGAATGGCCCTACATAATTAGTTATTCAGGTTATAAAATATTTTTACATTTTGTTATGGAATAATGCTGCATATAGATTATTCTTTTAACAAAATGATTAATATTTACATTCATACCTAAATCTTTCCCTCCCTTTATAAAACTAACTCAAAAGTCTGAATATAAGTTCAGAACTCTTTGTTTAACTTGTATCATCCTCCCACACCCCTAAAACATAATCTTTTTAGACATTATTATTCTTTAAGAAAGTTTTAACAACCAAATTTTTGGGCTTTCTTACAAATTATTGAGATAAACATTTTCACAAAATATAACAACCCATAGCAAACATAATCCATGATTAGATTGCCCCATTTTTGTAAATTCTAGTTAGAACTTTCAACTAGTGGCATGATTGAAATCACAA